AGGAAGGTCAGGATTTAATTAACTCCTTTGCTCTTGACAATAGATACCTAAAACATAAAGGTTAGAAGTGGCACCCCAAACTTTCAAAAACCGTAATGTGTCATGTGTCAGAAGAAACTATGAAATAGATAAAGAGCCACACTGAGCAACAGGAAGGGACAGGTCATCTTAGGGAGTTAAGCCAGAAAAACTCTAGAATCCTTGGCTTTCATTCCTTTGTCTCCTGTTCATGGGAGAAGACACTATTTCATTCGTAAAACTAGGAACATGAATTACTTTAATGAAAATAAAATGAATAAATAAAACTGATAATAGTAGTACCCCGTAGGTTTGGATGGTGGTCAAAGGAAGTTTTTGCTGTTAATATACTGTTTGAAATTTTACAGCAAAAGCAAATTCTTATGTGATTTGTATAATTAAAAATAAAATAAAATATACACATAAAAATTTAAAAAAAATAAGCAAACTAGAATCAAGGTCTTGGATTCCAAGGCACTATTCAACAAAATAAATAATTTGGAAGCATCTACACTTCTCAGGTGAAGCTATAACTGGTAATTACATAAGTCATTCATTATTACAAGTAAGGTATTGTGTCGTGGGTTTTATAAACATAAACCTACTCATTTAATACTCATGATCTTATAAAGCAGGTAGTACTATTAGCTCCATTTTACAGACGTGGAAACGGGCTTGGAGAACTTAAGACACTTGCCCAAGTTTACACAGCTCGTAGATATCAAAACTATGATGGGAGCCAAATCTCTCTTCCTCTAGAGCTTAAGAGCTTGACATCGTGTCCAGAGGGGACCTGCTTTCCTTCTGCAAGTCTGAAATGATAGGTTTACATTAGAATAATTAACTTTGAAATTCACTGGAGAATACCATTTTAGCAAGGGGAAAATAAATCCCCAATCCCTTGTGATGGTTCCGAAGAACAAAAGGCAACCTTCCTCCATGCTGGAGCCATGGTGAGATATGATCGGTGGTCAGATTGTGCCCCTTGAAACCACTGGGCTCATCTCTATCCCAAGGAGCCCTGGGCCTTCTCTAGCCAGCATCCTTGTCTCCCGAAGTGACTATCTCCCCTAACATCTTATAGTCCTATACTTGCATTCTTCACCCTGCTCAGGAGCTTATTAACTTGTCATGTAGGTGACTTGCTCAGCTCGTCTTTGGCACATAATGCCAGTGATCCTTCCAAGATTATGGTTTCCAAATGACAGAGATTTATTCTGCACGGTACCTAGCACAGTGCCTGCCACTGCTGAAAGATGCTTAGTAAATTAATAACAAACAGAACATTAATGAGCCGCTTTAATGCCAAGTCCAAGGAGGGCTCTATGACACATCAGCAGACCCTCCCTGAGGAAGCTACCAATTAGAGAGACAGTATTAGAGAGTTCCTTTAAAGTTAAAAAATAATAATAATAAAGACTTGGGTGAGGCCAGGAGCCTCAGAAGTAAAATGGCTAATTAAACTCATGCATCTGAACCTGCGTTTGAGGGTTCACATCGCCAACAACACCTTACATAGGAAAAATCAGGAAAACAGACCATTTAAATCATTTAAAAAGAGTCAAGAGATGGGCTTTCCACAAAATAATAACACTCCCCTAATGTGGTGACCTTTTTCCTAAGGGCACTGTGCATTTCAGTTCACCTTCTAGCTGTCTACCACTTCAATTCATGTGTCAGCGTGAGGTGTGAGTCCCATGAAAAGTATTATAAAGAAGAGTAATACCAGGCTCAGGGAGTTTCTATTCCATTAAGATCTTCAAGATACGTGCTCTTTGAGGGTGGTCAAGGTACCGTGGTGCAGTCAGAAGGAGAGGGAGCCTGCAAGCACCGACTACACGGGGGGCGGGAGGAGACAGGGACAAGGAGGGAGATGGGGACAAGCATTCTCAAAGCTCATTCTATTGTTGACTGTTCTATAAAAACCGGGTAGCCAGTGCTCCCGCAGCCTGCTCCCACTGCTTGGGCATGTCCCTGGCAATGTCATGCTCTAATTGACCCACTGGTCACTGACCTTGGCAGAGCTCATTTACAGTGGCAGCTGCGACAGTCTCTTAAAAGCAGAAAAACCTGTCCAGCATTCCATTCTCTCAGATGAAATCTAAAAGGAGTGCTCCTCAGCACGTTGCATTTCCCCCGCCCCCCTTTCTGGAAGGGAATGGTATTTAGAGGTAAGTCTCGCAAAATCTCAGTCCCAGTATTCTGAATTGGTATCCTGACGGTCATCCCAACCTTTAAAGTGTATGTTATGACGGAGAAGTACATGTCAACCATCAGATTTTTTTAAAGATTTTATTTCTAAGTAATCTCCACACCCAACGTGGGGCTTGAACCCACAACCCTGAGATCAAGAATTGCACGCTCCACCAGCTGAGCCAGCCAGGCACCCCAACAGTTAGATTTTAATATAAAGGAGAAGGCTGGGTGTCTCGTACGCCTAAATTACTGTTAATTATATGCAAACACCAGCTCTAAGCATATCGTTTAGAGCAGAAGGTAGTAAATCAAAAGTCATCTTAGTAGCTAATGCTTTCAAGGTGTGCGAGGAGAGAAAGGACAGAATGATGTACTCATTAAAGAGGGACAGGTGAGCAGGGAAAGCTTTGTTAAAGCTTTAAAGCATCAGGGACCCAGCTACAGGAATAAAAGACAAAATTTAGGAGTGGTCAAACTTGTTCATTATAGATCCATTCAGAATATCCTTCTATTTAAAAAGTAGGTGATTGAAATACATCGTCAGTTTTCCCAACGGAGAATACTTTTAAAACAATGCAGAGTAGTGAAAGTCCTTATGCTCCAAACATAAGGTGTGCCTGTTTTTGAGTCTCAGAATAATCTGCCAGCCTTCCAATTTAATTATGACCGAGATTCAAGTCAACTGTTGAGTGTTCTAGAGATACACTTTCTGTAAATTCCAGCTGGAAGCGAGTGGAAAGACTCCAAATCCCTTAAAAATATGCCATGGAGTAGAAAGAAATAGTCAAAAAATGGAAAAAAGAAATGAAATTCTTTTGAAAGATTATTTTTTTCCAGTTTGACCTCAAAAGAATATAATCAGATATATGGCTTACTCTGTTTACTTATAATCTGTCATGTAAGACTTTCTAAAACCTGCCCTATCTTTCCTGGAAATCAAAACCAAAATCCACTCTTTTTACAGTGCAGGGAAAACAGAGGGCTTTATTCAAATAGAGACATGCAGACATCTTGAGATATTCTAATTTTATCCCTTTCACTTAGGAAAAGCCATCGAATCAGAGTTTCCAACTCTAAATACTAGTAATACATTAATACTAATTAAGATGCACAGTATTATCATTAAAATTCAGATTCTATCTTCAAGGAGAGCCCAGAGATTATTAGAGCATCTAGAGGCCTTTTATAACATCAGGTGATGTTACACTTTAGAAAGAATAAGAGGGAACAAGTTTCGACAGAGTTGGCTGACTGCCCACACGGGGCCCCTATCCACTTTACGTTTTATTATTCTGAAGTTTGTCAACTTTTGTCTTCCCAGTAAATGTCTAAAGCAGGTCAATAAAGCATACGGAACATTTGCGGAGTTTTAAATGAGCGTTCTTGCAAAATAATGTTCATTTGCAGGAGAAAGTTTTATGGCACAAGAAGTCACCATGAATTATTCATCAGTCACAGAGGGTGCCAACCTGCAGTTCCTCTATCCCTCTCAACAAGTGTGTACATGTGAGGCACAGCAGAGCTAGGCTCCCCGGTCTTACCTGTCCTGGGGAGGAAGGCAAACGCCAGCTCCCTGGAGGTCCTGGTAAACGGCGACGGGCAGAGCGCTTGGAAGGGAGGGTACAGAGCGCACCTGCCTTACGTGGAATTACATGCTAGCCTATTCTCCTGAAATCAAAGTAAGTTACAATCTCTTATCTTAAAGGGCCCAGTATCAAAAGAAGCAGCATGAATTGACACAGTCTGCTGGTTTCAGTGGAGTAGCCCGCAAGACTGTGCCGGGCCACCTCTGAAGTTGGGGTGCTGTCTGCCAGTTCCTGGGATGCTGAGCAGGACAGGCTGGCCCCCTCCTGAAGCCAGCCTATCTAGGGAGCAAACTCCCACAAAACACAACTATCAGTGAAGCATTCGAGGGAGGGACGCATCCAAACTCAAAGCACCTGCGTAGCCCATGCAGGGGCACAAAAACTACATCCCAAGGAGGAAAGAATTCATCTCAGAGCTATGTTAACAGAGAAGTATTGTCACGGAAATGGGGTATAAAAGAAAAAGAGAGGGCGCCTGGGTGGCTCAGTCGGTTAAGCGACTGCCTTCAGCTCAGGTCATGATCCTGGAGTCCCGGGATCGAGTCCCGCATTGGGCTCCCTGCTCGGCGGGGAGTCTGTTTCTCCCTCTGATGCGCTCTCTCGCTGTCTCTCATTCTCTCTCTCAAATAAATAAATAAAATCTTTAAAAAAAAAAGAAAAAGAGCACAGGTGCAGAAATGGGATCACAGGGTTCAGTCACTGAAGACGCTTTTTAAAGTGCTCCAACAGACCAATCTAAATTTAATTAACTTATTTTTTAAAAAGATTTTATTTATTTGAGAGAGAGGGAGCGAGAGAGAAAGAGCATGAGGGGAGGGGCAGAGGGAGAGGAAGAAGCAGACTCCCCGCTGAGCAAGGAGCCTGATGTGGGGCTCGATCCCAGGACACTGGGATCATGACCTGAGCCGAAGGCAGACCCTTGACCAACTAAGCCACCCAGGCGCTCCTAATTTAATTTAATTTAGCTGGATTCCCTACAAAACAGTCCTGTTGATTTTTAAACCCCATTAATAATATCTTTAAATATGTTGCTATCGAAGATACATATTTTATACAAAAAATATGTTATGTGCATAGAGTATTAACATATTATAATAAGCATATAACTCTTTCAACTACCGCAAATGCCCCTGCCCTCTCCCCATCTTTAAAGACATGGTCTACCCCAGGCAGCACAGTTTACAGAATGAACAAACAAACCTTGGTTGTCTTCAACCATGTGATGAAGCTCCATGAACTCAGTCTGTTCCCAGGTCATTAACCAAACACACAAATCTTAGAGCAAGATTTCAGCTTTTCTTCACAAGGTGGCTGGGCACACACGGAAGGACTGCATCCACTCCTCAAAGGGAAGTCTTAAGCCCTGGCTTTCCTCCCAGTAGTTCGTGGGCTGAGCTGGACTCCAGAGAGGGGTGTGCCACCCAAAGGGTGTGCCCCAGCCAACTCAGGAAGAACGAGAAGTTTCCTGCATGATTCTACCTCCTTCCTCGTGTACAGAGTCTTCACCCCCTTCCCCTCCCCACTCCGTCTCCTACCAATTCTGAAGACCACTCTTAAGAACACACCAGTTCATTGACATCACACCTGCAGAATATCATCCTTTCTGGGAAGCCGCCATTAAAACACGCCCAGAATGTTCCTCAGATTTTCCTCCACTCTGCACAATCCAGAATCCAGATTTTGGTCACTGTCATTTCACAGTAACTCAAACACATGAGGCAAAAAAGAAGAGATTGATGTTCCCAAGCCTTCTGCTTCCTTTTTTCACTTAATGAATTATTGTCTCACCAGATGGGCACTTATTGCTTTTCTGAAAACAAGGATTTAACAAAAATACTATAACTCTGAGCAGGTTCCTTTTACTACCAGCGCAACTAGTCCTCATGGCTTTGGATGTGGTTCCCTGACAAAACACTGGTCTGAGGCAAGCAGTGGACTTTGAGCCCGTTTATATTAGGTACAGGCTATCTGAAAACAATGACCTCATCCGGAAAGGCTCAGGAAACAGGCATTTTTTTCCCTTTGGTCAGGAATGCCCTGATGCTGGGTTGGATTACCCGCCACCCACAGTCCGGCGTTTCTCCCAGTTATTTTTGAACACCAGGGCTTTTGCAAATTGGAAACATGACGAAGATACAGTTTAAATGGGAAAAGACACAGGACAAATATCCCCAGCCTCAGATACATTTACTGGCCAAGCCGTCCTCTGGCATAAATTGTTTTAAGTGTGAGGGTAAATAATTTAATTCCTGTAATTAAGACACAAGCACCAGCGCCCATTCTGAGATATTAATTTAATATAACGCCCATAACCTACCCACTGGAAGGAAAGACTACATGATCACACTGTTTCAATATCAAGTTTAATTGCACCTCCCTGGCTTACTCTCTTCCTCGTCTAGGTGGCTTGTTTTGTTTTGTTTTGAAATGGCTCTGGGGACAGCCATACTCCTGGATTACCCGATCCGCCCTCCTCCTAGCCCAGGCCACTGCCTGGAACTTTGTGCCTCTGATAACGTCCTCCTGACTTGGCCGAAGCACCAGGCGCCAGACAAAGGATCCCAACTGGACCACTCATTGATAAAATGCTTGGCATCTGCAGAACTGTCTTATGTCAGCTGCTGCCAAAAGGCCAGTCACATTGATTGAAATCTTCTGATTACGCCTAATGCCTAACATTCTCATGACAGTGATTTCATGCTTTACCCTAATGTTTTTCCGTTAGTGTCTTGGGAGTCTTACCAAAAGATGGAATAGAAGCCTTTCACAACTGCGTTTTTTAATTCTCATTAGCCTCATTTCAAATGTAATGGAAGCTAGTTTTTCCTACTTGGAATCTCAGATTATGATTCTTAGCGGATTTGACATGAAAGGGGGAGGAAGAAAGCATGTGTGGTGCTGCTACTGTTTCCTGCAGCTAACCCAGGACTCTAGTGAAAAGCAACTTGCACGGGTTCCTTGCCTTTCATAAGGCAGGGCTGCCGGGGGTGGAGGGCAAGCCGATATTGAAACTTTGACTTTGTGAGCAGTCAGCCGGTAAGGTAGCTCCTTCCAAGCCACGACCCCCCAGATTTGCCTTCTGTTAGTTGAAGCATGAATACTTTGGTGATTTATTAGACTCCACAAACCAATTGCTCAAAAACTGTTTAAAACATACAAATATTTTCTAATTACACGGCAATGGTACTTCTGCAAGGTCCTTTAAAATCAGAGATAGTAGAGCACCCGGGTGGCTCAGTCGGTTAAACGTCGACTCTTGATTTCAGCTCAGGTCATGATCTCAGGGTCATGAGACGGAGCCCCAAGTCGGCTCTGTGCAGGGTTTGGAGCCTGCTTGATAATCTCCCTCTCCCTCTCCCTCTGTCCCTCCTACCCCCGACCCCCGTGCCTGCTCTCTTTCTCAAAAAAAAAAAAAAAAAAAAATCAGAGATACTGCTATGTGTTCTTTGCCTTACATAACCCAATCATCTAGGAACCCTGGAGCACAAGTCTCTCCCTCAGAACCCTTCGGAACTCTTCCCAGGAAAGCAATTGTCAGTCAGCAATATTAATGAATAAAAATGCTTTAATTTGCATATTCACCTATATTTGAGAAATACTTGATTAAGCATTGTTAGACAGGTTTCTTAACCATGGACTTCTCAGGGACATTAACATGCATGTGTGTCTTGTAACTCTGTAAGAGAAGAATAAGATAAGAAGCATTTCCTAAATTTATTTGGTCAGAGAACCCTAACCCCAGCACAAATAGTAACTTAGCACAAACCCCTGCTCAAGGGAAAGAGAGCACTAGATGGGATTTTTGAGATAATTCACTTCATAGCGTCAGAGATGAAAAATCTTAAAGCCAGAGGAAGTTCGGGACTTGCCCAGGGCCGCACACAATGCTGAAGTGGGTCAATTCTGCCTGGCAACGTTTGGTTCTGCTGTTTGGGGGGCTTCGATGGGCCATGGCACCTGGCTCTATCTGCAGGGATGGTATGGTCCCCAGTGATGCTGCCACACTGGGTACCAGAGATGCTACATGTTCTTAGGCAAACAGCACATCTTATAACAGATTAGGTTGAGACCTGGCCTAGGAGATGAGGCCTACCATACTGGGATTTATGACAGAGCTGAGAGAAATAGCAGGTGTCAGTAACAAAACATGCCCTGGTGCCCTGGCCTCACCTTTCAAAGTCAGCAGAAGAGAAAGAAACCTAAAGCAAATTGAATTCCATAAGAAAAATGATTCCCTTGGGAAAGATGAAAACTACATTTCTTAAAAGGTCATATTCAATAAGGAAGAAGACCCTTCCAGACCTTAACTAGAAAGGTAAAAAGCAAAGAACTGATTTGTCATTCCCTTTGAACTTCTGTTCTGTTGATACTTCGTTATAAGCCCAGATGGTTGGCACCAATCCAAGCTCAGCTGTGACTCCACTGGAAGGATCAACTTTAAGAACTGGAAGAATTTGGAGTTCACCACGCTCTTAAACACAAAGTGCTCTTGATGGTGGCTGAATCTAGAAGGGTCTTTATAGCACACAAGTATCTCTGTGCAAGCAGACCTAGTTTCTGCTTATGATTTCCAGGTGGATCCTAGGTAATTGTTTTTATGACTGGAAATGAAATTTTATCGACTTTACTAAGATAATATCAATGCCTATTACATATGGCCACATCTATCAGCTTCGTAAACTGCCAACAGAACAGCCTCATCACTATTCATAGCTCACCTGTACTGAGGGCTCACTCTCTGCAGGCATTGAACAAAGATCCCCTCGCTGATTACTTACAACCCTCTGAGGCACGCACCATTATGATCTCCTTCTTAAAGATGAGGCAACTGAAGTAGAGAGAAGTTAAAGAAATTGCCCAAGGTCGCTCCCCATGTGAGAGATACAGCTGAGGCTTGGGCCCAAGCACTCAGATTCAGAGGCCATGCCCGGGAAGCTAAAACTTACCCAAGACATTAAAACAGCTCAGGGAGAATCATTATATCAGAGAAAATGCCAAAGCCATCTCCACACCTGAAATTATGATGAGTTGATGCAAAACTTGAGTTTTGCAGTATAAGAGATCGCATACCCAAAAACTGCTAATGCTTTTTTGCAAAAAGTGTAAAATACTGAAAACTGTGTGTGCATGGGGTGGGGGGGAGGAGAGGAGCACTTATTATTGATGTTAAAAGAATTATTTTTTCTGAGTCATTTTCTGTTTTCATGAGATTCTTCTGAATTAATCTCATTCACAAAGAGACCCAGCCCTTGGCTAGCGCTGGTCTGCACTAAGGCGGTGATGAGGGGAGAACCATCATGGCAGACTGCTCCCCCTGCCTCATGCCCATTGTACAGGGCAGTGTTCCATGTTCGGGTGGGAGTTGCCAACCAACACTTACTAGACCAGGGAGAGGCAGAAGACCCAAGTTCTTGACCTGGCTCTAGCTCACCAGTGATCCTAGGCAAATTGCCAAGCTGTCTTCTAAATCTATAAAATGGGCCACTAATTAAGCTGCTCTGTCTACATCAGAAGAGGTGAGAGATAACAAAACTCACCCGTATTTTCTGTCAGCTTTTTCTCCTCTCCTCTTCTCTTTCTCTCCCCTTCCCTCCTTTCTTTCTCTTTCTGTTTCTTTTTATTTTCCCTTTATTTTTTTTTTCGGCCAATGTTTGTCAAAAAGGATTTGAGATGAAATCTCCAGCACACAGAAACTGGATTCCCCACAGCAATCTTAGAAGTTAAGTACTTAGAAGAAGGGTGTTATTAATCCCTCTTTAACAGATGAGTTAATGAAGGCTAGAGAGAAAGTAACTTTTCTCAAGGTCACAGCTTGCAGGAAGAGGAGCGGGGACTCAAACTCAGTTCTGTGTCGTATTCACCATGTTATAGTGAGGTGTGATACAATGACTCAGTGTGAACATCTTCAAGCCTTCTCCCTATTGTCCCGCTGAAAGAATCCACAATTACCAATTAACCAATATCTAAGACATTATTCATGCAAACCTTTTCAAACAAAGAGGGAAGAAGTAGAAACAGAAAGTACTTAGTGGTTGCCATCAGAAGCCTTTTGCATCCCCCCACCCCCATAGCAAGGAGTTGAAAGCAGTGGACTTGTTACCTCCTCACTCCCTTATCCACTTTGTCTGCCTTGACTCGCTCCCACCTGCCTTCGCTGGGCTACGGGGGATTAAAAGGCATTCTGTATTCCCTGCAAAAACAACAGGCATTTCTCTTCAAGGACTCATTTGACACAAATAAGCTGTAGGAACGGGGGGATTCCAATCTTCCCGTGCTTTTGAAGAAGTGGTGAGGATAAAGTCTACAAGGAAATGACTGGAGAATGAGGAGATTCTACCTCACTTTCATTGTAAGAGGATCAAATGTTAGGTTAAATCATAATGATTTACTAGAGTCTGGATTTTTATGATTTCTACATTAATTACCATTTGGCTCACAAGGGATAGATGACCGCGGCAACTGCGAAGTACTACACACATAGCTTCACCCCTAGAGAATGGAGGATATTTATTACTGTGTTAGAAACAGAGGGCTGCATTTTGGATGGAATTTTTTGTTGTTAGGAGAATAGGAAAACAGAATAAACACCTAGAAGACCCATACCTGCCCCGGCAATGTTACTACATCATTCCACCTCGCCTATACCTTTTGCCACGTGTACCTCTACCAAGCTGGTCCACCACCTCTTTGGAAGCGGCATTCAGATTTAGTGGGAAGAGAAAATATGGCATGTTTCAATGAGGATGAGAATGGTCCCTTAAACCGTCGACTCTGATTCAACTTCCCAGCTCACTTTGGGGGACTTTAAGTTTAACATTCTGTATGACCCTGCCTAATTAAGAGTTTACTGACAGTAAAACATTCACACTTAGTCTCTGATGTAAGCAACCATTTACTTATGGTCATATGCAAACCAATT